AAGGGCTTTTAGGCATTCCTATTAGCCTAAGCATTGGACCACACCGGGGCGGGGGGGCCTTCCAGGGTGGGAATGGCTTTTGGGTTGGGGGGGGGGGGTCCAATCGGGGAAAAAGGAGACATATGTAAAACTAAAATTAGACAATAAAAGAAAAAAATTGCATTACATTGAAATAATAATATTGCCTGTATAGGAACCTCTTAAACATATATATATATCTTCTTATTTTTCTCGCTTACACCACAGGGAGCATCCACACAATTTGCTCCGCAGCTCGTTTTCTCAGTGCATCGTGGGTCCTGGGGACCTTTCCCTCTCGGCATGGAGAGCACGTCTGTGTTTCCTCCCACAGGGCAGCCTCCACTGCACAGGAGGCCCCATGGGTGGCATTTAAACTGTCTCTGACTTTTGTTATTATAACTGATGCTCTAAGAAATGACTTTGTGCCCTGGCCAGTTTGGCCTGTGGACTGAAGGGTCCCAGGTTTGTTTCCAGTCAAAGGCACATGCCTGGGTTGTGGGTTTGGTCCCCAGTGTGGGGAGTGCAGGTGGCAGCCGATGATTCCCTCACATCATTGATGTTCCTCTCTTTCTCTCCCTCTCCCTTCCTCTCTGAAATCAATAAAAATGTATTTTTCAAAAAGAAATAACTTTGTCCATCAGTTCACACAACCCTGAGCTGATCTATCAGATAAATTCCTAGAACAGGGATTTTGGATCAATAATAAATAATTTGGATTAAGATTATTCTATTGACCCCCAATATAAGGTGTGTCAATTTATACGAAAATATACCAAATAGCAACAAACGTCTAAGAGTGACTGTCTCCCCACAGTCATGCCATCAGTGATAACAAACACATGGTTTGTTTGCTGCCAATCTCACAGGTGGGAACGTCTCCCTGCTCAGTGAGACTGGACACCCTTCCCCGAGGTATTTCCATGTGGAACCATTCATTTCTGTACTGAGCTGTTTCATGTTTTGAGGAGCTCAGCCCTTTCCCCAGGACGTGTCTGCACATACTTTCCCCACTTTGTCATGTGTTTGCTGACAGTTACCATTTGCCCTTCCCCATCGCCTGTCCCAGGTGGAGGCAGCAGGGATGCTCAGAAAATGTCTGTGACATCAACAGCTTCAAGGGGCAAAGGGCACCCAGGTCCCCGCTCTGAGCCTTATGTTCACTGCACAGACCCAGGTCAGCAGCAGACACTCAGGCTCCTTCTCCCAGTGGTCACAGCTGAGCTCAGTGTGGGGCAGGGCACTCACCTGCAATGGAGACCCTGGCTGTCTTCTCCTGGCTGAGCAGGGGGTTTCTGACGACACAGGAGACCCCCTTCCCAGAGCCGCCTTTCAGGATCACAGATGACGTGACTGCGTACAGACCCTCTCCATCTGCAGCCCCAGCGCTGCCATGGCGGGCAAGCTCTCTCCCCCGTCACCTCTCCACTCTACGTGGGGCTGTGGATACCAGCCTGCAGATGTGCACTCCACACGGATCCCTCCATCCTCATAGCCCTTCATTTCAACATGAAGATCAGAGCCAAGGGCTGGGGAAGGAAGAGTGAGCCTGAGTCATGGGGAGGCCTCAGTGTTGGTGAGGGTCCCATCAGGAACGGGGGCTCACTCCACTAGATCACACAGGCAGGGTTCATTGAGGAGCTGTTTGCCACGTGTGCTGTGCAGGGGAGACTGTTCCATGACGTGACCACTTGTTTTGTCCTGACCCATCACAGGGACAAAGCATCCTTGTCTGAATGCTGCTGTTCCATGACATTGTTCATGTCCAACATCATTTCTCTTTCTCGGGGTATAGCCCTGCCTCGCACAGGAAGGAAGGGAGGTGGGGGTGGGAGATCCTGGCTTTCTCCCAGCAGGCCTCCTCAGGCTGTGCAGGGAAGACTGTTCCGTAACGTGACCACTGCCTGACCCTAGTGGACCCTTGAGCTAGATCCAGCTGGATCTGGGCCAGAACAGAGACTGCTTCCCATGGATCCCCTCAGAGACACCTGTACCCTTCCCCTGCCCAGTGCTGGTTCCTGGAACTGGCCCTCACCCGCCCCAGGCATGTAAGTCATTCCCCTTATCTGGGCGGGTCATGCCCCTGTCCCCTATCTATCCTGCCAGTCCTGTGTGAGCTTTAGCCTTTGCCAGGTGGTGGGGAGGATATGCATGTTGTATTGCTGCCGCCCACGCTGTTCCTGGTATGAAAGTCACCATGGTGAACTCTTGATATCATTAATCTAGAGTTTACAGCCTCTTTTTCGGGTCTTTGGACTCAGGGGAATTTTTATTTTGTGGTCGTGGAAGGGGAGAGACTACATGGGAGAGAGCTGACCCAGGGCCTGGAGCAGTGAGTTGTCACCACCAGTCCCTAAACTCTTAACCGAAGGGGGTCGGGGAGGTGGGAGGAAGCCTTTTGAAGACATGGAAGAACACAGTCCTGTAGGGAGGGGTTTCTTAAGAGGATCTGTGGTCTCAGGAAGGGACTGTAGTTGACAGAGGAGGCCCTGCAGGGAGAAAGCCAGGACCTCCCACCCCCACCTTCCTTCCTTCCTGTGCAAGGCAGGGCTGTGCCCCGAGAAAGAGAAATGACGTTGGACATGAACAATTTCATGGAACAGCAGCATCAGACAAGGATGCTTTGTCCCTGTGATGGGTCAGGACAAAACAAGACCACTCAGTCATCAGATCTAAACACAGAATAAAACATGAACAGTGTGCAGATCACAGCAGTGAGCAATCATCACCTGTCCCAAGTGTGAGTGACCAATTACACCCCACACCCTCCTGACAGCATCTGATCCAGAGCAAAGCCCTCCTTCCATAAACCCTCTCCTACTATCAGCCCAAAGTTACACCAAGTCTCCCTGACACCCCCTCATGGGGACACCCCATGTTTCCACACTGTGTGTTCTCCTCACTGCAACTAGTACCAAACTCAACTTGTTCAATTGCAGGTGTGATCTTTGAGCCTTCGTTGATGGAAATGACAGCACAGGTGATGTCCCTGAAGCTCAGCCTCCCTGGACCCACTGCAGCGAGCACCTGGGGGGCCCAGGTCCACTGCCTGGAACACAGCTGAACCCACTCAACTGTGTGCCCCCCACGAGGGGAGGTTTTCTCAGCCTTCCTGCCCCGACCCCACATCCCTGCTGAGACCCTGGTGGCTGCAGGAAGGACATCTTCACTTGGTTCAGGAGGAGCCCTTCCTGCAGGAAAACCTGTGTCTGCCAATGGCTTAGAGAAGCAGAGGTGGAGGAGGGAGGCATCTGCTGGGGTGTAGGCAGGAGTCCGTGAGGTGGGCCAGGAGCCTGTGTCCCCCGGCCCCACAGAAGGAGCTCAGAACAGCCTCAGGCTCACCTGCAACCTTCAGCTCCACCAGGGCTTTTTGATAGAACTTGGCATCTTGGAAATAACACTGGTAGGTTCCACTGTCAGAGGCTCTGACCTTGTGAATCCGAAGAGCAGCCTTCCCCTCAGCGATGTCCTCTCTTAAAATCGATGTTCTCCCTTGATACTCTGCTATCTCTGTTCCTTCCTTGCCATCTGCATATGCACGTACCACCTGCCTGAGACCGGATCGCACCCACATCAGCTCCATGGTCTCAGCACTCATCTTCGGGAACAGGTGACAGGGAAGCTCAATGACTTCACCCACCATGGCCAGGATGGGCTCAGGGGGTCCAATCACAGCAAACTGAGCTGGTCAGCAGAAAGGGGTGCTCCATCAGAGGGAGCTGGAGGCCAGAGGGTAAGGGGGTGTTGCAGGTAGGGAGGGTGAGGTAAGAAACACCTAGAGAGGGACTCAGTTCTGACAGGTTTACAGTGTGGATGGACCTCCCAGGTGTGGGGAGGAGTCCAAGGTTCTGACTGGGCATTATAGGTAACTGCTCCAGGTACATAAATGCAGATGGTCCTTACCTGAGCACAGTGTGAGCAGCTGGACCAAGGCGAGGCAGACAGGCAGGTGGAGCAAATGGAAGCCCAGGGACCTCATCACTGTGGGCTGTTGTGCAGACATTGAGACACCAGAAGGAGTTGGTAGAAATGACGACCTGGAGGAAGATGGAGAATCCACATGGAGACGTCTGCCTCCCCAGGGCTGACTCCCGGTGCAGCCACCATCACTGGTGACCCCAGGGCCTCCTCTGAAATGTCAGCTTGGGAGTCTCTTCATCTTTGACTCCAACATGGAAACCACCCTAAAGTTGGAAACCTTAAGTGTATGTTTCTTGCCCTAACCAACTGTAAGTCCTGGGCTCTGCTGTCCAATGGTCTGTAATCAACATCTATTCATATAAATCTTTAAGCCGACAACTTGTAACCAACCCCACCATTCTTTTAACATTATTTATGTAATTGTGACTACACATAAATAGCCTGTTCGCTTAAGAATTCTAGGAACTAACTTCAGGAAAAGCAGACTCCAACCTCCAGACATTCCATCTCTGGAAGATTTGCTGACCTTCAACCAGTAATCTGCACAGACCGTGTTGGCTGGCACTTAGTCCCCTCAACGGAGAACTCTCAACCCCTCCTTTTTATTCCTTTATTCTTCTTCCCCCCTCTCCTCTTACTTAAAAAAACCCCTGCCCCTGTCCAACTGTCTTTGCAGCATGAGTTCACCATCTTCTGAAGCTGCAGGCTCTAGAATAAACTGACATTCCTCCCACCAGTCCCATGATCTCTATGTGGTCTTTCAAGTGGCAGGCAGTTGAAACTGGGTTCTGTCTTTTAGAATCTCTTAGAACACATCCCAGAGAGAAGCAGGAGAGCCTGTCAGAGGCCTTAATGACCACAGTAAGTTCTTAGGAACATGCAGTTGTCAAGCTCACTCATTCCGGTTCCCTCCCCCTCACCCCCACAGATTTCTGAGTTCAGGCCTTACCTTGCCCTGCCCACGAGGTCTCACCATGTCCTCACCTGCAGGCTCACCCAGCTTATCAGCCTCTCTCCTAAAGAGACCTGGGCCCTGGCTTTTACCAACTCCCCCCACTTACAGTTGGCACTTTCAGCTGAAAACCACAGAACAAAGGCCCTCCTTAGGTCTTCATTGCAGTTGAGTCTCTGATCTGGAGGAAAGGGTGGGAAAAGAAAGCTTGCTCAGGAGGAGAAAAAGTGCAAAGTCCCTGTTTGAAAGCACTTGTTATAGAAAGAACGATAATAACCTTTACTTTGCTCTGGGTGTGTGATCGGTGGGGTGCTCTACACGTCTCCACCTGTTGCTGGTGGGATTGGAGTTCTTGGGTTGCCACGGGAACAAAAACTTCCTGAGGCCCCACCGGAGGATGAGGTGCTGGGGAAGCTTTATTTCTGTGGAATTAAACCCCTGAGTTACCAAGGCCCATCTCCCTCCATCCTGCCATGAAAAGCCCCATTTTGTCTTCAGCAGAACCAGGATTGCAGCCATTCCCAGAGTGTCTGCTCCATATTTGCACAGTCCCGTCCAGTCCAGCATCTGGCTGGGGGAGCTTGTGCTCCCAGCTGTGGTCCATGGCCTGTGGGTCTGCAGGGCCATGCTCCATTCAGCTTCTAGGACCACATGGCAGCCTAGCAGGGTCACTAGCCAGGAAGAAGCAGGAGAGCAAGCAAGAGCAACAGAGAGAGAATCCAATGGGCCGCGCAGCAAATATGTCCCCCGCGGCCCCTCCCAGAGAGCAGCCCAGGTCCCCGCATCAGTGGGCAGCGCTCACCTGTGAGTTGTTCCCGATGTTGACGCTTCTGTGAACTAAGACGGGGTCACTCATCCCAGGAACCCCAAAAGGAGTCGTGGGTCTGGAAGGAAGCCAGGCTGACAAAGGTTAGGACCTTTGAACTTCCGCTCCCTGGAGAAGTGCCCCCGGAACTCGGCCCCCACGCCTTGTTTCCGGTGAGTGGTTTGCGTTAAGGTTCCGGCTTTCTCCCTTCTCCTCTTAGGAGCGGGAACACGGACACAAAGTCCGCTCTCAGAACCGGGTCGGAGGTCACAACCAGCCCCCCCGGGGCCTCAGGCAGCGCTAGGCTGGGGCTCAGGGGCCCCGGGGGTCAGCACACCCGCGGGGGCACCGCCCGGACCGGGGTCTCCAGCTCCGGAGAGAAAGGGCCCCGCAGGCTGCGCACCGGGAACCTGTCACTGAGACGGAGCAGCAGGCTCATCGCTGAAATGTTACCCGGACTCGCAGCCGATGATTGTAAACAACCATTCAAAGCAGCTGTGACGTGAATGATCATTAAATAGCAACGAAAACAAATGAATAAAAAAAACTTCTTTGAGACCCAGTGATCCCACTTCTGGGAATATATTCCAGGAAACCAGAAACACCGATCAGAAAAGACATATGCACCCCTATGTCCATAGCAGCACAGCGTACAATAGCTAAGATTTGGAAACAGCCCAGGTGCCGTCAGCGACGAGTGGCTTAGAAACCTGTGGTACATCTGCACCATGGAATACTATGCTGCCGTGAAAAAGAAGGAACTCTTACCATTTGCAACAGCATGGAGGGACCTGGAGAGCATCATGCTGAGCGAAATAAGCCAGTCGGAGAAGGATACGCATCGCAGGATCTCACTCATTTGTGGAATATAATGAACAACAAACTTTCTGCTGACGGTTTGCCTCCTTCGCCACTTTGTTCTTGGCTCTTTCCTTGTCCAGTTTCAAAAGTTGACCGAGGGCGAGTCTTCAAGCTGCTCCTTGACAGGAAGGAAGGCACAGCCAGGTGGATGCTGCTTTGCTGCTTGTGTCGTCGTCCCCCCCCCCCCCCCTCCCCCGGGGCTGGCTTCTGGCGCCCGCCTTCCAGCTCCTGGAAGCAGAAGCCGCCCTGGGCCGGTCGGGCTGGTTCCCGGTGGGGCAGTGGATGGAGCCGGCCGCGGCTACCCGTTCCGGGGTGCAGGCGCAGCCCCCCAGGAAGGGCCGGTTCTTGAACGTGGAGACGCGGTGGTCCTGGAGGCAGAGCTGCCAGGCTGCAGGCAACCACGGGGCACCCGGCCCACCGCCACCCCGAGCGGGGCCGCCATGCAAATCGAGCGGCCGCCAGACTTCAAGTCTTTCACTGAGTTTTAAATCCCAGCTGCCAATTGGAGCTGATGCTAATGGCCAGGTCACCTGCGGGCCTATTTTGCAAATGCCCTCTTTGGTTTTAGTTGCAACTACGGGTGATAGCCATTAAAAACAAATGTTATGGGTTTATTTGAGCCAAACTGACAACATATGCTGGGGGAGCAAGACCTCAAATGCTCTCAGAATAATAATTTTGCAGCTTCTTTTATGCATGTGAAATTAAGGAGAGGCCATATCCTGTTTACTATTTCTTTTGTTTTCCTTATTTAAAAAAAATAATTCTAACATCGAAATAAGCCAATATTATTTTTATGACATCAAACTCTAAATCTACGCAAGAAATTAACTATTGACAAATGTAACCTTTACCCACAATCTCTGGCGATGTGGGCAAATGCATGTAAGAATTTCAGCAACCTTTGCACCGACAGTAATTGCACCAGCATCTATTGAGAGCGCACCGTGTGCGGTAGGCATCCTTCTAAGCACGTGGCCCATGTAAGTTCACAGCGAGCCTGTGGGGCAGGTGAGGAAAGTGCACGTTTCAGGTTTCAGTCAGCAGCCGGTCCCCCTGGTTCTCTGGCAACACCAGACCTGCAGACTCAGTCCTCCCCTGGTCGCGTGTATTTTCTGAAAGCCCAACACGACCCTCCCTGATCTCTCACCTCCCCCACTCCACTCCGTGGCGACCGACAAAAACAACAAAAGTCCCCGAACGTCTATTTTTTACATCTATGCAGAAAGCTAGATAAGAAAAGGAATGGAATAGAATCGGTTGAAATGCAAATACAAGCAACTCGGAGGCCGAGAGAATCCGGGGTTGGTCGGAGGAGGGAGCCTGGCATGATTCACATCCAGGTGCGTGGTTTGCAGGAAGCATCGAAAATTAATCCATAGATCAGCTGGACGGATTTGAGGAGGCCCAGCCCGCGGGACCTCGTGGCGCAACGGTAGCGCGTCTGACTCCAGATCAGAAGGTTGCGTGTTCAAATCACGTCGGGGTCAACTAAAGCTTTTTTCCTTTTAATTTATTGCCGAGGCGTGGGAGGGAGTGTAGCGCAGAGGGGGTTTGAAGATTCTGGTCCGTAAAGTTAAATCGTATCCAGGAAGAAAAGCACGCCCTTCCGCTTTCTCTGACCCTTTGATGCCCTGCTTAAACTCCTTAAGAAAGAGCGTAAATAGGCGGTCCACAGAGTAATGTTCAGTTAGTCCAGGCCGGTGGCCATCGTGTTACAGAAGACAGAGTATTCATCTGGAGAAAGAGGAAACACATTTAAGTCTGAAAGTTGAAAAAAGAAAAAGAAAAAAGAAAAAAGTCAAACCAAAAATCAGCTGAATACTAACTTTCAGACAGTTTTCCACTGCAGCAGAGTGGCGCAGCGGAAGCGTGCTGGGCCCATAACCCAGAGGTCGATGGATCGAAACCATCCTCTGCTAACTTCCAGTTTGTTTTCCATCCCAAATAGATCTGAGGTTCCATTTACGTTTTTCATGGGGACCGTTAGAACAGCGAAAAGAGATAGCTTTTGTTTTTTGTTACAAATGTTATGAAATGTTTGATTCTTTAAACTATGTGTGCATAAAAGGCTAGATATAAAACCTAACAAGATTTGCTGTCGACTATGTGTATATCTTCTTTAGTGAGATGTCTAAGTCCTTGGCCCATTTTTTAAAGCATATGAAAAGATGTTCCACATGATGTCATGAGAGAAAGGCGAGTTAAACCAACAATGGGATACCGCTACGTAGCTGCTAAAATGTTAAAAATCCAGAACACTAACAACATCAAAAGCTGCAAGGATGTGAAGCAACAGGACTCTCACTCATTACCGGTGGGAATACAAAATGGTGCGGCCACTGGCAAGACAGTTTGGTGGTTTCTACAAAACGAAACATACTCTTACACTCAGATCCAGCAGTTGCATTCCTGGTTATTTACTCAAAGGACTTGAAATTTATGATCACACAATAACCTGCACACAGATGTTTACAGCAGCTTTATTGGTCATAACCGAAAGTTAAATGCAAGCAAATGCCCTTCGATAGGTGATGAATGAATAAACTGCTACATCCAGACAATGGAATATTATTCATAATAAAAAAGAAAGGAGCTGCCAAGCCATGAAAAGACATGGAGGAAATTTAAATGCATATTAATAAGTGACAAAAGCCAATCTGAAAGGATACATATTGCAGGCAAAACTGTGGGTACAGTAAAATGCAGAGGTATGTGGGAGGGAATATCAGTAGGCAGGGCACAGAGGACGGTTTTGTGCAGTGAACATACTCCCCATGATATTATAAAGACGGAAACATGTCATTATACATTTGTCCAAACCCATGGGAAGTACATCAAGGCTGAACGTTAATGAAAACTATGGACTTTGGGTGATTATGATGTGTCAATGTATGTAGGCTCATCAATTGTAATAAATGTACCACTGGTGGGGGGTGTTGATAATGGGGGAGGCTGTGCATGTGTATCTCCCTCTCAATTTTACTGTGAACCTATAATTGTTCTTTAAAAAATGAAGTCGAGAGAGATTATTTTGAAGATTGGTCAGTTTTGAAAACAACTTAGCAATGTGATTTAAAGAAAATTTATATATATAGCAGAAAAAGAAGAGTTGTGAGCTATCAGCTGGAGCCCATATTATGAACATTTCGTGTAAAAGACATAGAATAAAAATGTTTAATTATATTAAATTTAAAATATACAAAATGCAGAAGCCCTGACAACGAAAGGAACTTCAAAGGGCATGACAACAAAGAAACAAAAGCCGAGCCAGCCAGGAGTCGAACCTAGAGTCTTCTGATCCGTAGTCAGACGCGTTATCCATTGCGCCACTGGCCCACCTGTCGTCTGTGCATGATTTAAACGTTCAGAAAAAGGAAGTAGTAGAGTTATTTTGTTCTAAATACCAGGATGACAATTCTTTCAACTTGCTTTTTCCTGGCCATCAGAATTTTGAACCCTAGTCTAGCTTGAACATTTAGGAAAAACACAA